GCCTGTTCCTCAGTCGGCTTCTTTGACTGCGGGAGGCGTCTCGGGGATGGGAGCTGGCACCCAGCGACATACGTCTCTGGAGAGTGGTGGTGCCCCGGTGCCTGTTCCTCAGTCGGCTTCTTTGACTGCGGGAGGCGTCTCGGGGATGGGAGCTGGCACCCAGCGACATACGTCTCTGGAGAGTGGTGGCGCCCCGGTGCCTATACCAGTGGGCTCACTTCATTTGCCACTTTGAGTCCGTTTGGGTTATGTTTACATTCTGTCGATGGGGTTGACAATACACCAGCTCGTGTTACAATTAGCAATGAGGTCACCATCTTACTGCTGCTGTTTATGACTGGATAGAGACATATCTTTTTTTTTTTTTTCTTGGTGTGACACTGAGCACGTTTGTACTAGTTGAATGGTTTTAGCATCTGTACTGTTGTGAGTATAAAATTTTATGTGGAAGATACCTTAAAAAGAAGGATTGGGGGTGGATTGAATGAATTGGATATGCTGTTTAAGCGACCTTTTAAGATTGGATGCGTTATACTTTGGGCTCATCTTCCCTTTTTAAGGTAGCTGTATTGGTTCATTTTCGTCTGATTTTCCCTATGAAAAGTTGTGTCGTCTTCAATGATTGTTTTTGTTGCTGCTGCATGCGCCTTGTTTCTCTATGACATGGACGAAGATAAGAGAGTGACTATCCTGCAATGTTGTTACAGCAGTGTCTATTTTGCTGTGCTTGATTTTATTTTTATTTATTTTCCTTGTTGCTATGGTTCCTTGTTGTAATTAATTTACCTTGTGCCACAAGGTGTATTTCAAGTGTTGATGTGCCGTGGTTAAGTATGGACGATGTAGCACGCGGGCAAAACGATGACGTCACGGAGAGTGATAGTTCTGGGAGACGCCGTCATGAGGGTGATGAGACTACGACGGCATCTTTTTGTTATTCTACTGCTCTAGAAGGAGAGAGTGGGAGCTCTGACCTTGAGCTGCAGCCCCCTTTACCCTTATGCTCGTATACTTGCAGTGGAGGTGAGTTTCTTCACCTCTTCCGGTCGCTCAATAATTCAGGGGAGGGATCAATCCACTACTACTCCCCGTGGACCGTTTGCGGAGATGACGACTGTTCACTTGTGGCTCATGTCGAGGTGGATGATGAGGAGAAGGAATTCACGTTGGGGGTCTGTGGCGCCACAGAACGCGTTGTGGGAACTTTCCTGCAGTACTTTGCGAGTGGGCAAACAATGCACCCCATAGGGGCGCCGGGGGTGTGGAGATTGTGTATTTGTCCGTGGCATCGGCGGGCACTTCTTTTGGCTTCTTTGGACGACCTAATTATCTCTTGTATCCATCTTCCATCTGCAGAGTACTGCCGTTTGAGGAATGAGCGAGGGAGAAGAAAGGAAGAATTAACGCAACGAACACCGCCCTCGGTGTGTGAGGTTACCCCCATTGGTGTGGACGCGTGGCGTGTTGTAGTGGAACACAAGGGTCGGGGATTTGTGCGTCTGTACGCCATTGAGCGGCGCAGGGGCACATGCTACTGTGACGCCTCTTTATCTCAACTCAGTTGAAGCATGACGCGTAAAACTATATATCTCATCACGTGATATTAAAAGGCATTGCCACGAACATATAGGCAAGTGTATGCCATTTTTTGATTATGTTTCATTTATTATTATTATTTTTGTTGTTGTTGTTGCAGTGAGGCGGTAGTACACACATACATTTTGTTGTGGATAGTGTCACGGAAAAGTGGTTGGGTGTGAGGAAAGGGAGCAACCAGGGGAACGAGAATTGCTGAAGGAACGAGAAATGAGGCGTGCTTTGGTCTTTTCTGGCCAAGGATCTCATCGTCAGGGCATGTCTATGGAGTACCTGCGCGTCCCTGCGGTTGCCCGACTCTGGGAACGAATGAAGTGCAGGATGGAGCAAAACTATGGCATCTCTCTTCAGGAGGTGATTACAGAGAACCCACAAAAGATACATGTGCTCGAGGACGCACTGGACATAAATACACTTTGCCAGAGAAGTTGCTTAGAGGATCGAAACGTGGCCGAATCATTTCCGCGTCGAAAGGTTGTGTCATGTTCACAAGGTGGCGTCATGTTGCGGACATTTTTAACACAGCCGTGCATGGTGGCGGCGCAGATGATGGCGCTAGAGTACCTTCGTGCAACACGTGGGTATTCAGTCGAGGCCTCCTCCGTCATTGCCGGTCACAGTCTTGGGGAGTTTTCAGCATTGTGTGCGTTAGGTGTTTTTTCCCCAGAAGTTGCTGTTGATCTTGTTTACAAGCGCGGAGTATTTATGGAATACGCTCTTGATCAGTTTTCTGCAAATCGTGACAATTATGTGATATACGCCTGTAATCCAGTGAGAGCAAAACTTTGCGAGGATGACCCGGATGTCGCAGTCGATCAGTTCCACGTACTGGTAGAGCTTGTGGCTCGGGCCCTTTCCACTACGACCTCGTTCGTGGAGGTCGTCAATTACAACATCGATCACGAGCAGTATGTTGTTGCGGGAGATCGGGTGGGGATGTCGGCTCTTGGAAAGTGCCTTGACCCGCAGTTTCGAGCGAGCGTTTGTGGTCCATCCTCTCCGCTTGACCACATTGCCCGCACAGCGGTGTCGTCGGTGTGGCAGGACAAAAAGGATGGCGTCACGATGGACCCCAATAAGGGACTCTCACCGGACTTTGTAACGTCGTCTGTAAAAAAATACGGTGTACGCTCGACGTATCGTCGCTTTATGCGGGGTCCTGACGATGGCTACACACCGTCACTTGAGGAACTAACGCATCTGACACTTCAGGAGGATGGTCGGAGTGGGCTGAAGAAAAAGTCGTGGTTTATCCCTATTCCTGTAAATATTCCGTTTCACAGTAGCCGGCTTCGTCGGGCAATGGATCTTTTCTTGCCTGTCGTTCGGGATGCGATGCCGGAAGAAGATGTGCTGCGCTCCTTGTTGGGATTGGCTCCAAAATGCGTTACGGAGTCTCATTCATCTTCTTCCTCTTCAACAGGGGAGAGGCGGCCAGTGTGGCTGACGAACCTCACAGGTACTGCGTTTCGACCCATGGACGCCGAATTTCAGGGCCACGCGCTGGAGCTCCTGGGATCGATGAATGTTGGCGAGATCCGGCACCATGGCCGCTACCAAACCGACATGGTAGAGAAGGCCTTTAAAAATGGAGTGGAACGCAATAGCGTACGTGAAATGTGTGCAGCCGTGCTTGCTGCCCAAATGGCGCATCCTGTGCAGTGGATTGACCTCATGGATGCCACCGTCATTGACGAAGGCGTACGCGAGGTACATGAAATTGCACCAGTGCGAACGATAGCTGACATGTTTAAGCGGACCATATTTCGAGAACCGGGTCAGGGCGGAGCTGCATTGGACGTTGTGGCTTGTTGCCTCCCCTCCTAGGAACGTTTTTTTGTGGAGCAGCTGCAAAATAGGGATGCTTGTTGTTTCAGATTTTTTGTTTTGGTTTTTGGTCTTCTAAGGGGCTTTTCCTTATTGGTATTGATGTCTCATTCATGATAACTCCAAGCAATGAAAATTTAATCTAATTTTATTGATTTGGGGCCGTTTTTGACAAAATACTTACACTGTTTTCTTCACTGCAGCGGATCACTTGATCCTTTTTTTTTTTTGAATCGCTTTTACTGTATTTATTTTCTCACGACTGAGCAGGGGTGCCTCCGAGTTTTTGTGGGGGCATCGTGAGCCTCTTTTTTATTTATTTGCGTTCGGTTGGCATTGTTGTGCATAGTTAATGTTCCGGCTGCGGACCCTTAGATCTGGTTGCGTGGGAGGACCCCTTCGTTTGACTGGGGCGCGTCTACTGTGGTGGGGGTACAAGGAAAATGAACTTCACCGACTAGCTCGTCAGCGGCCGTGGTGGGAGAACGCGGCTATTTTTGCCGGGCTTCTCTGCTTTATTCAAATTACGAGTATATGCTACTATTTTGGTAACCGCCTGTACCAAACCTGGCGGCCCTCTGGCAATAATCTCTACGTTAATAAGGCGATTGATACGAAGGTTTTTGCGCGTCCTGACCTGTCTGTGGCTGCGGTGCGCATGGTTATCCATCATGCACTCTCAGGTACTCAGACACCATTTGGAGCCCCCATGGTGTATCCGGAATACATGCGCCCTGAGGCAGAGGAACTAATGAGATTTGTCTTTGAGTTGCACCGTGAACAGCCCATGTTCTCTATTCCTGATCTTTGGGCAATGCTGTCAGCAAAGGCACTCGCACGCCTGGGTGGGCCAAACATTTCAGTGCATCGCGGCAGACCAAACCCTCCGGAAGATTTAACAGTGGAAAAACTTCTAGTTGAGACGCCTTCCCTCGTACCGGAAGGGAAACGCGATGCACTTGCAATGAAGCGATTGCTTGCGGGACAGGGATTTTCTGTAGAGGAAATTGTTGGCATGATTGGTGGGATTAGGGCGTTGGGCTTTCATGATAGCTCAGGATTTCATACAAAAGAAGAGGTGAAGCCACAAATGCGCCGTCACCCAAGTTTGATGGGACCCCAAGAGGATGTTTTTCATCTTCCGGAGACGATGGAAAAGTGTACTTTGGACCCCTACGTGTTTGGTGGGGAATATTTTGATCTTTTATTGGATTATAACTGGCGGCAGCGAAGTCGTATCGGTTGGCGGCGTGGCGCCTTTCGCTGTGATGAAAAGGATCGCAAACGTGACATTACACTTCTGGACCCCTTTTCAGAACAGGCCGTGATGCGGGAGCGGAAACGTCTGCAGGCGCAAGAACAGGCACGGGAAGCTGTGGAGCGGGCGGCTCAGAAGCGAGAACGGTTCAATGTCGCTGAGGAGGAGGAGCCCGCGATGGGGCGTGCCGGTGAGGCGCAGTTTATTTCCGGCGTGGAACCGCAGGAAAATGTGGAGGAGGACACGACCGACACCGTTGGTCTCGTGGTGGTGCCGGAGTTCAAGAGTCCTTGCTCAAGTGTGTCGATGCGTGAGATGGACATGATGTTGTTGGACGACGCACTCTTGACTGGGTGGCTGCATCGCTTTAGCGCAAATGAGATTCGTTTCTATGCCGTTTTTGGTAACGTGATGATGAAGATTCAGGACTGGGGATACGGTCTTAACTCTCTTTACATTCCGTCGTGAAAGCCTTTGTTGGTCCTTTTGTTGAGCTCGTTTTTTTTTTTTTCTTGGTGTGTGAGTGTGTATCACACTTTCTGAGTTGCCCTCCTCTGCCCTCGAGACCGTGATGACTGTCAGTATGAGTGTCAGGAAATCGATCTATTTTTTATTTTATTTGTTTCAGTGCATTGTTTCCGCTCTGACTCAATTTATTATTATTATTATTATTGCTTTTGTTTTTATGTTTTTTTTACCCTCTTATTACTATTCTTCCTTTTTGCTTTCTTATGTCGCCCCCTCATCTTAACAACGACGTTGGCTGTGGTGGATGTGGCGTCACTCACGACTGCAATGGAGGAGGAATCATGAATGAATTACACCAAGGAGGCAAAACACAAACAGTGGCTGCGGCTGCGGCGGCCAACGTTGACGGCTATTTGCGTAATGCGTCAAAGCGGGTTCGCGTCCCGAGTGCATCAGGTGGACGGGGGACACGGCGTAAGCTGGCCATGGTAACCGCGGAGAATGTGGATCGAGCGCCGCAGCCTGTGATCGTGGCGAACACGTCTGATGAAGTCGACGTGGATGACGAGTGGGACGAGGTGGTGCTGCCGGATGCGGCTGTTGCGGTGGCGAAGAAGGATGAGGTGAAGACCACAAAGGAGGAGAGTCGTGAAATGGCCAAAATGGGGGCTCCCAAGGCTGCCCCAGGCGATGGAGGCGTCAAGGTGGAGGCCGTGCAGGTGGAGGATGACGAAGAGAGTGGGGAGGCTGATGACCCTAGCACACGGTTGTTGATGCAGGGCACACGGCCACCATTGTCAGGCACACCGATGCAACGATGGGGGCGAAATGACCCTTCCTACGAGCGTATACTCGAGCAGCAGCAGCTTCTCGCGGCTCAACGACGTTCGGAACGAATTCGACGTGCTGCAGAAGGCATGGCGGTTTTGATTTTTGCCCTACAACGGGGCAGGGTACTGTTTAAGGAATCCCGTCACCCGCGGCTCTTACGAAGACTGCTACGCGTAAGCACTGCTGGGGGTGACGGTTCGAGACTGTTTCCTTTGCTACGTGCTGTACAGCTGGCCAAGGAAGATTATCAGCGAGCCCTTGACCCTGCAGTAAAAACGCCTGCCCTGTCACCCTGTTGGGTTACTGTGAGCAAGGACACTGTCAGGAATCATACCTCGAGTTCTATTATGACACTGCTTAGTGGTATCACGTCGGTCTTCACTCTTGGGGAAATGATCGATACCTCAGTTCTCTCTAATTGGGCAGTTCCCATTTCCTCTGGGTATCTATTTAAACTTTTGTCAAAATCGCGACGCTTGCTCACTTCCCCTGATGCGAAGTTGAGCCTTTCTCATTCGTTGTATTTTTGCGTCCTATTTCTTTCACTTGCCAGTGTGTCGGGTATGTCATGTCGACTGGTGATGGCGATGAAAAAAGAACGCGAGCGACAGAATGCTGTGGCAACTGAAAATAGTGATGCTCCTGCAAAACCAGCGCAGATGACGCTGTTTGTGCCGCGTACAAAGCGGCCTCGGAAAGAGGGAACTGCTGAGGGAGATCATTTGTTCCAAAAGCTGCCATCGTCATGCTTCTGGGTGGAGGTTTGGTGCCCGCAGCGTGAGAGCTTCATTGCTGTCAACCCGTGTAGGGGTTGCACCGCACTTTGGGGAGCTCCATATACGTTTTCGGTAAGCGGAGATGTAGCCATGGATGTGACGCCGAGGTACTCCACAAAATACAGCAGCGCATTTTTGTATCGGTGGGGTCGTTGTGATGCATACCGCTTCTTCTGGAAGCGTCTGGACTGGAACGACAACAGAGAAGCCTCTGAGGTCATACTCGACGCCTTCCGTAAAGACATGACACAATGCACACATAGTCAATTAGCACGAGAACGCAAGCAGCTCCATTCTCTTGCGTATGCTGAGGAACTACCAAAGACGTTGACGGCGTTGCAGAAGCATCCGTTGTTTGTTCTTGAAAATGAGCTGGCGCGGCATGAGGGAATCTATCCGAAGGATAAGACAACGATTGTTGGTAGTGTGAAGGGTCACATGGTGTACAAGCGATCTGCCGTTGTCAATTTACGTAGCCGAGACGGGTGGCTTCGTGTGGGACGTTGTGTAGTAAGCGAGGATGAGCTTCCATACAAGGTGGTACCCCCGCCAGCATCACGTCCTTTTGCATCATCTTCGGGTTTCTTTGGTGTATGGCAGACGAAACTGTTTGAACCCAGCCCTCTCCGTAGTGACGGGTCATTGCCTTTGCATGGCAAAACTCACTGGTATGTTCTTCTGGGTAAGCCTGTACCAGAAGGGTTATTGTATATTCAACGACCTAATATTGCCCGAGTGGCTCGCCGAATGGATGTTGAATTCGGTCTTGCTGTCATGGGGTTCCAACGGCGCCGTCTAGAAGAGTCTCGGCATGCACACTGGGAAGCTGTTATTGATGGTATTGTTGTGAAGGAGGTGGATGCTGCCAATCTTTTGCACGCATACGATGATTGGAGGCGTCTGAGAGAGGAACAGGAGGCCGCCAAACGACGCCAGCGGGCGAATCGATGGTGGTTACATTTGACTCAACGAATGCTGGCGATGCAGCGTGTTCGTGAACAGTACTTGGATGGTGCGCGGCATGGGTTTCTTTATGTGCATTGATCCATTTTTTTATGTTCTTTTTTTAAAATTATTATTCCCTTTGACCACTTTGCTGCTGACACTTTATTGATGTTGTTTGTTTGTTTGTGGTTGCAGCTAGGGGAGGAATCCTGCCTCCCACGCTGCAGTGAGGCGGCGCTCACTGGACATACTCTGGGAGAAAGGTGGGAGATGTGGTTCATTGTTGTTGTTTATCTTTTTTCTTTTTTGCTCTCGGTACCATTCATCGCAAGGGAAAGGCGAAGGAAGAATATTGTGGAGGAGGGGGAGGGAAGCGGCATCTATAATGATGCGCTCTACTCCGTATCTTGGCGGTGGTGCACGTACCCCCACAAATAATCTCCCGCCCTTTACAGGCGTTTCTCCCCGTGTTTCCTCACACGGCGTGGCGGCTCATCGCGGTGAGTACATCTCTATTGTTCTGAGGCCTACGGCGCTGAATGCGCAGCGCGGCTCTCTGGAGGCGCAATGTGTCGCCACGGAGGAGCCGGTGGAAATTATGGGACTTCCCAGTACAGCGGAGGTGGCGCAGGTGAACGAGTTTGTGTGCTACGTGAATCCCAGCAACGGGCAGTTGGAGTACTTCCAACACGGCACGTACAACGACGAATACGACGTGGAGACGTATCGCAGGTTGTTGGAACTCTGCCCCAAGTTCCCACAGCTTTTTTGACAGAGTACCTCATCGCCGCTGTTGATCGTGGGGCGCAATGTGGCGTGGCGCCAGCACAGAGACCATAGAAGGCATTTAAAAACGAGGGTAAGAACGAAAAGGAAAAGTGCGAGAAAGCGAGAGAGGATGGAGAAAGCCATAAATACCAGAAGCCTCCACCGGTGTGAGCAGCGTGGTGGCGGCATGTGTACGTTTCTGTTATGAAGCAACAAATACAAGCGAGAGAAGAGGCGAAGAAGAGGAACCAGAGAGAATTGTTTTCATCTTGTGTCTTGCCCACAGGCAACAATGAAACAGAAGAACGACGTGGAAGAACGAAAGAATTTTAAAAGAGATGAGGGCCTCTCTTTCTTTACCCGTGTCTTTTGTGTTTGTTTACGTCGCACCACTGATTTTTCGAGTGACTGTCATTGGTGTCTTTTTTTTTTTTTAAGTTTCTGGTTGTCTTGACGTCTTCAAGCGTCACTTTTTCTGCGTGAATCTACGTGTGTGTGTGTGTTGATGAAAAGTGTAAGGCTGTGATAGCAGGGCACACATATATTTAATCCGTCTCATCTTCTCGTTTCTGCAAGGGAGTGACTGGCACACGCACGTGTGGATAGACATTTCTTTATATATAACTTTGCTTATCATTTCTACCATGGAAGTGGCATCGCATGCCTTTCCAAACGCGTGTCCCTTTCGACGCCCCGAGAACCCGTACGAGCAGACAGAGGCCATCTGGTCCAACGGGGTGGGTCAGAAAGCGGATTCCGTCGCGGGCCCGTCCTCCTCGCCGTGTGTGCAACCGATTCCGTTGGTGCTTCTTCAGCAGTGGAAGTATTATTTTGCTTTCTGCGGTGGCATAGTTGCCCAGGAAGTGGATTGGCGGGATGTGCTTGCTTACATGCGTGATACTTCAGCGACTGCAAAGTGTTCCTTGCTAACTGACTTCTCCGGCTCGGGCGTAACGGCCATGGCGGAATGTGGTGCGGATCACAATAACTGTGGTGCAGAAAACCGTTTGACAACGACTGCTGGTGCGTACCATCACTCGGCTGTGTTTTTAATGAATACATTAGCGGATGATTGCGAAAGACGTTTTGGATCATGCGCATTACGTTGTCATCATCAATGGCTTCTGCGATGGACCAAAATGTTGGCGCAATGCATCACATGGCGTTTGTCCCATCTATTCAGTAAGGGTGAGTTTGTGCCACCGCAGGAACTGCAGTACTATTGTCTTGTTTTTGCCGCAAGGGCAAGGGAGGTTGTCGGTGCAGAGGCCTACGTTCAGACATTACTTGAACTCTTGGAAGCAGGGAAGAATGAGGAACTACAGTGCTCACGCAGTACTGAAGAGACTACCAGCTTCTCACTTACCCAGACTACTACCCAAAATTTAACACTTACTATGACGCCCTCGCCTCTGCACGTTACACCTTTGTGTCGAGGGTGGTGTTTTCCTGCACTGTCAGCACGTGTACTGGATTCGCTCTGGGCAGACGTTTTACGCATTCCATGGAATGTGCTTAACCCAAACTGTATGCCAGAGCAGGTACGTAGACGGGTGGTAGCGGCTTTAAATGAGACACATGTTGATATTGATGACCCTCTCCCTTTCTCTGGAAATGGTCGTTGCCGAATACACTCTGCCACGTTGAGGGAAATCTTGGGGAATGACAACCTGGTGAAGGGAGGTGTGGAGAATCTACTTCTAGGGGCCGTCACGCGTGACCCAGTGTGCCTGCAATTGGTTAAACCCCACCAGTTGCTTGGTGCTGTATATTTACTTGAAACTGTCGGATATGTGATGCTGACAAAGCTCCGCTGTAGCATGGTGGATAAGTGCTACTACGCACTTCCTTTTCTTGCAGATTTTGTGTCTTTGGGAGCACTACTTAAAAATGCGCTGCCTTCCTCTTCAGGGCCCTCAACAGCGTCAGCTTCCTTCCAAGCAGGGACCTCCAAGGAGGTATTAGGTATGGGGATGGGGTTGATACCAATGCTAATTCAAGCTCTTTTAGAGGCAACGGAGGAGTTGTACGTTAAAGCTGTAGACCGCATTCTTCGTGTTTATTCAAACAATACGGTGAAACGCCTCGTGAAATTTTGTGGTCACAGCGAGGCTACTCTAGTGTCTCGAGAGGCAGTGAACGTTTTGGAGCGAGTCGTGGAGCCGACTATGGAGGTGTTGCTTCTGCTTTTGGGCCAAGATTGTTCGTCAAAAGGTGACTGGCACTTTATCGACTTCATCGTTAACATGTTGAAGGCCGTGTTGAATGAAAAGATGGAGGCGATCAGCAAACGGTGGAAGACTGCCTCTGTCTTGCTGCAGTGTAGTTCGGATCGTGCCCTTCTGCTGAAGTACATCGATGACCATTCTCTACTGCGACGTCGTGCATCCGCTATGTGATTTTGACTTCTTTTTTTTTTTTTTGTTGTAAAAGCTGAATTCCTCGTTTTTCTTGCCGGTGTGAGCAGAAGGCATGAAGACATATATATATATATATACGCTTATATGTCCCCCCCCCCCCCTGTTGGAAGAGCAACGGGGCTAGCCCTCAATAACGACAAGAGCAGTGACTATGAAAATGAAACAGGTGCATGGTTTCATTTGGGCTCATTTTTTGTGATCTTTTCACTCATGAACCGGGTGAAGATCATGATTGACATGTATATACTTTTTGATTCCTTTTTGTTTTTGTTCCTCTGCCTGTTTTTGTGGTTTATTTTTGGCTTCTTCATTGGGAAGCGCGATGCTACGACTTTGCCTGCGTCAACTTTGCCGCACCCCCGTCCTTAAGGCAGGCGACTCTGTCAGTGCATGCCTTACGAGCTCTTCACACTGCGACGGGAAACCTGCGTCGTTGGAGCGGCTGCTTGCGCCGTTCGTTCCCTTCACATTTACTGCTCTCACGCAAATCAGTCGTCATGTTGATGAGGAGCTTATGGAGAGAGTAGCTGAGGAGGGGGGGCTGCGGAGCTTTCTCAGCAGCCATCCGGAGTTGTTTGCCCTCTCCAAGGTGGGCAGCGTGTACGTGGCACGACGCCTTCAACACCGCAGTGCAGTGTTCACGCCTTCAGGTGATGGCGCCAATCCCTGTTGTCGTCATAAAGAAACAGACACCCAACCAGCGACGCGGAGCCTGCAGAGGAGGGAAGATTTTGGTCCATTTCCAAAGATACAGCGTGCCCCTTTGGAGGTGTTTCGCCTGTTCCCTACCTTTTTTCTGCCCACCGAGGCGTTACGGACACACCTATGTGAAGTATTTTCACTGGCGCCATCAAACTCGGCAGTCAACGAGACATTGGCTTCCACCGTGCCCCCCAACACGGGTCCTGAGGCTTTGGCGGACTTTTTTATTGAGAAATACGAGGAATTTATTGACGTTATCGTAGTGAAAGATACGAATGTTGAGAGTGGAGAAGCGCAAAGTAAGAGTTTTGTGCGCCTCCGGCCGACTTTTGCAGAGCGTGCCGCATTCTATGAAAAGGAGCAACTGGAAAGTACAGGCAGCTATGAGGGATGCATCAGTCACATTATGGAGGCGTATAGAGTGGAGGAATATGAACAATACCGTGTGGCTCGTCTGATTCCTGTTGCGGAAAAGCTATTTCCCATTTCTGCTGAGATGCAACAGCAGGCCACTGTGTTACTTCCGGAGGGACGATGTTTAATTCACGTATTTGTGTCAGCACCGGACCTCTTTGAAGTGCAGAATACACCAGAGCTGTCTGTTCGCTTTATTCTTGACCCCCGCTTCCGACCGACCACTATGTGCGCAAAGGCCGATATTGAAAGGCAGTTAGCTGAGATTAAAGAATCTCGCGTTAAACACGGTCTTAAAATACCGATAGACCGAAAAAAACGACGAACTTTAACGCGACAGCTGCAGTTTTACATCCAACCTACACCGTACCTTGATGAACGTGTTTGGGCCTACGCACTTCTGGATCTGCTGCCGCTGGACGGTCCGCTATTGTTGAGTAGTGCCCTCTCCAAGCTTCCACGGGAAATGTTGGATTGCTCTCCACCGAACGTGCAGCGTTTTCTTCTGAACTATACACATCTGTTTTGTGTGATTGAGGGAGACCGTGAGAGACTGCTACAGCGTGCAGATATTCCTGCACCCGAGCAGCGTTCTGTGTCAAGTGTCGACACAGAAGAAATACTGCTGGCGCTGTACAATCTGTATCCACGCCGTAGACATCCTGACCGTGGTACTTGTCTTGAACGTTGTATGTATTCCATGCCACCGCTGCTTCGCGCCCGGTTGTGCCAGTTGGACTTTGTAGAAGATGTACTGCGTAAGCATCCTGACAAGGTAGAGGTGCTTGGTGTGCTTGACGAGGAACTACTGAAGAGTGACAAGTCTTCAAATAAGCGGCCACACATGCTGCAGGTATTTCGTTTCGTTGGGGAGTACCAGGCAGAGTTGATCCGACGCTATGAGGCATTGTGTGCCAAAATCGGCCAAGACCCCAACAAAGAAAGGTTGATATAGAACGTGCAACCGTGTGAGTGAGTGTGTGGGTGCGACTGTATGTTGGGAAGCAGGTTGTGTGTGACTTGTTGTTGTTGTTGTTGTGGTTGTGGTGGCTGCTCATTTGAGGGGTCCCTTTCTCTGCATCTTTCCCTGTTCACCTGTTGGCTGCGGTGGTTGCCATTGCAGCGACGTTGTTGGTTTCTCGTCACCACGTTTTAATAAAATTTCTTTTTCACGTTGCTGTTGGAGTGAGTGCTGTGGATTGTTGTTTCCGGCGGACCGCACTACGCGCTGCGGCATCCGCAACCTCATTCCCCTGTTATTATCTTCTTTTTCTACTTTTGCCCCCCGAGGATGTATGAAATGCACATTCCAAACGGTGATGAAGCGTCTTCCGCCGTTATTCCCTTCAAGCTACACCGTAGCTGTGGGAGGGGGGAATATCCACCACCAAAGACGAAAGCAAATGAAACAAAAATAAAAGTATTTGATCTTAGTACCCATGAAACACATCATGGTGAGAACTCGGATTGGTGTTCAACTACACAAGAGGAATGACTGCATGACTTGACAGAGTTCGCGAAACATGCGAGCAATTACTAAGGCAAATTCAACGCGGCCGTGTTCGTGTTGGTCCCCTTTTCCCCCATTTGCCTTCCGTTTTTGCTAGCCCTCGAAAGAGTCATTCCCCGTCCTTTTTGTTTTATCAGATGGCGGGGTAATGTAGTTGCGACGGCGAGATCGATGGTGTTGTTCAACTAGGTGCCCTTCCGTTCTTTCTATATATGCATCTTATTCCTGTCTGTCTGTGCGTGGATGATGATTTACACAATTTGCACGTCAGTTTGAGTGTGTTAATGAGATGTCACAATTGTTTCCGCTACTCTGTGGTCGTCCTGACTGGAAGTAAAAACCCGCTTCATTTCTCCCTTTGCACTGCTACCTTGTTAGGCTGACGGCAGGACCATTTTTGCCGCTCCCTACACCCGCTCCTCTCCTCCTCCTCTCTCCTCCCTTCCCTTCAACTTCAGTATCCATACAGACAGAGTCGCACCTTCTTTATTTGTCTGTCTGCATCAATTTCATCGTTGTGTGTTCTGTTGTGCGTGCACAGATGCTGTGGACTGCTGTTTGGAAGTCTTGATTTGACGTTTGAAGTCTGTTTTTTGTTTCAAATGGAATGAGACCCCATCTTTTTCCTCTTTCTTTCTGGTTTTTTGTGTTGTTTTGTTTTATATTCTGCCTATGCGAGGGTGGGGCGTATAGTGAGGTCTTGGCTGAGCACTAGTGGAGCAACGGCTTTTATCAGGGGTCCAGTCAGTTGAGGTAGATATGCCAAGGGGTGCACAAGGCCCCATAGAGCTGCTGAAGCAGCAGCGTTTGCCTGCTTGGCAGCCCATTCTTACACCTCTAAGTGTTGCAGTAGCCTTTTTTATTTTAGGCGTTATCTTCGTTCCTTTAGGTGTACTCATTACGCTAACGAATCAACGCGCAAAGGAATTAAGCGTTCGTTATGATCATGTTCAGCGCTGTACGAGTACGCATAATACAGGTGCCTTCACTTATACAGGTAACGGCATGACGCTTCGCACCGGGTGTATAACAGAGGTATACTTTGAGCTTAGGGAAAGGCTCGTGGCACCGGTATACCTTTACTATGAACTAACCAAATTTTACCAGAATCATAGACGGTATTCAAAGTCGCGAAGCGATGCCCAATTGGCTGGTGCTGTCGTGAGAGATATACCTGATGCTTCACCTCTTGTGACGCCAGGGGAAATTAAGGGTCTCTCTGGGACCTCTATTCGCTACATGGATGGTTTGAATTTGAAATACAAGGATTTTGTGTATGCCCCAGCCGGTCTTATTGCATGGTCTATGTTTAATGATACGTTTACTCTTTACGCAGAGGACAACGAAGGTGGAGTGGCACGACAACTCATCTGCAACACAACTGATTTTTCAAAGGCAACGAATCTCCCTCTTAAAGGCTCGACATCACAAAACATGTGCACCAAGAAAGGGATTGCGTGGGATACAGACGTGGCATACAAGTACAAGGCACCAAACTTGGACGCGGATTGTCGCTTTTGGACGGCGGCACGAGAGTTGTACACTGGCAACGTATCAACTAAGGCTCTATCCAATGACACCTTTTTCAACAAGGGGTGGTACGCAGGTGAATTGGGCCACACCATCCCTGTGACGACAGATGAGGACCTAATGGTGTGGATGCGTCCAGCCTCGCTTCCAACTTTTCGAAAGCTGCATCGTGTTATTCACACAGATCTCCCGCCTGGGAGATATTTGATGTTGATTGGGGAACACTTTGATGTCTCCTCTTTTGGTGGCACAAAATCCTTTGTATTGGCCACACTATCTTGGTTGGGAGGGAAGAACGTATGGCTGCAGGCGTTGTACCTTTCAACGGGTGGGTTTTCCGTGATTTTTGCTGTTGTGTTACTGTTGGTACATCGGTTTTGTGGCGACCGTGCCTCAAAGGCCATTGACGCGTTGATCCGAAAATGATCCTTCAATCCTCTCTTAGTTTTGGTGGGAAAGCAAAATTAAAGACCCTTCTATGCGTATGCTTCTATTTACTATATTTTCTGTTTTTGCTTGCTTTTCGTTTTTCGCCCTTACATTGTGTCCGTGTGCGTGTGTCCGCTTTAGTGTAGGCAGGTTTTTTTTTTTTCTGCTTGTCTTCATTCGCTCTACCCTCGGTGTTTTGTGCTGCTGCGATGAATGCTGCGCAGGAACATTTTTTTTTTCTTTATCTTTACGTTTTGCTTCCTCAATAACATTGTTTCTTCACAGGGGAAAAACGGCGGCGTGTACTGGCGTGCGAGCCTTATAGCAAGGGGAACTTCGCCTCTCATGGAGCTTGATGTTGTCAGCGATGGGGAGGTGTACGCCCGTGCGCTGCAGGAGGCAAGGTGGGATGTCTTGCAGGGATTAAATGTGGAAAGAGACTGGCAGCAGCTTCAAAAGCGACACCCATTCTTCCGCGATGTTGTCATGGACGCTGGTCGACAAGCAAAACAGTTGGCATCGGTGCTGGCAGCAACGGAGTTTTTCCTACAGCGGCTGCTTTGGTGTTGCAAAAATAACACCGCGCCAAGCTTTATTGATTCAGGTAAGGTGAAGCGTTGGCACGATTCTCTTGCCGTGTTTATCTCACTCTGTGAATCTTCCCCTGTCCCGACACAAGCGCGGTGGGTGGCTGAGATGCGGCAACGCGCCGGTGGGCCACATGACTGTGGTGCCATGAGCGTGGAAAGTGGCGAGAAAAACAATGGCGGTGATTACAATAAGAATGGAGGGGTAGATAAGGATGATGATGATGATGGTTCATTTGTAAATAGTCGTTTAAAAGAGTTGGTGACACAGTGTGTTGCCGTTGGGCGAATGTGGTGCTGTCAGCGCCGTGGGGAAGATGACATGTCTGTGAAGGAGCGCCGTGCCATCTCCGTTATGGAAGCGTTTGCAGCCCCACAGACGCTTGACTGGTGAGTGTGTACAACCACTTTTCGTGATGCTAAGTATACCACAGAGCGGGAGGCATGTTGAACGTGTCTGAGCAGCTTTTGTTTACTTTTTTTTTTTTGCCTTCTCTCTGAATACCAATAGTTTTTTTTTGCCTTTAATATTCCAATGCACGCATTTTTTCCCCTTTTTTTTTTGTCATCTTCTCTGTCTCTGCCTTATGTCCTTTTTCAACAGCTCCTTTCAGTACTGTTCCTCATGTTTCTCTTCGCTTACTTGATGATCTCTGGCAGCCAACTGAACTACTGCACATTGACTCTTCCTCAAGAGTAGAACTTGGAAAAACAAAACAATAACAACACCAATGGTGACGACAAAGTTTATTGACAGTCCAGATACAGCCGTGGATACGGCGGTGAAGGCACTCTGCATGACACTGCCGCACCTGCAGGTCATTGAAAACACACATGTAGTGGTGAACCGTGATCTTGACCCAACCCAAGTTTTCCTTATCTGCGGAGGTGGTGCTGGGCATGAACCCGCTCATGTGGGATTTGTTAATTCTGGCTGGTTGAGTGCCGCCGTCTCTGGAGATGTCTTTGCATCGCCCCCCAGCAGTCATGTAAGTGCTGCTATTGATTATCTGCATGGTAAACAAGGCCCTAATGGTCCTGGAATCCTTGTTATTGTTAAGAATTATATGGGGGATCTTTTGAACTTTCAGTTTGCCGTTGACGAGGCTAAAGAGAGGGGTATAAATGTGGAGATGGTGATGGCAGCTGATGATGCATGCTTTGGCATGGTTGACGCTACTCGTCGAGGAATTGCGGGTACAGTCCTCCTGTACAAAATTCTTGGGGCAGCTGCGCTGAGGGGTGAAGGCATGGTGGCATTAAAGCAACTTGCCGCTCGTATATCAAGTGGAATGCGCTCTGTTGGGGCGTCCCTTTCCTCATGCTCACTCCCCGGGTCAAAACCATCGTCGGTGGTGCCACATGGCCTTGTTGAGGTGGGACTAGGCATTCATGGTGAAAAGGGACTGTACCAAATACCGTTTGAGGGGGCGAAGGCGCTCGTTTCCCATCTGATTGGCATATTGCTTGGTGGTGGGAAAAGGCATGAGACCCACGGGCATGGGGGCGTGTTTAAGGACTGGGAAGGAGCAAAAGTGGCACTTTTGGTCAATAATTTGGGTTCCACAACGGATATTGAAATGGGGATTCTCACATGTTATGCCTTGGAGCAACTTCGGCAGGCCGGCATAGATGTGGTTGGTGTGTCTGTGGGCCGACATATGACAGCGTTGGAGATGCATGGATTTTCATTTACGCTGTTGCGGTTTTCTAACTTCGCTGACATTGCCTTCTTATTTGAGCCACAACAAGCACCACTTATGCCGTTCACAGTCCCACAGTACTCCCTTGCCCCTGCCCCAGGATGTCGTACTGCGCTGCAGTTGGCGCGGGAGGAGCAACAACGCGGGACGAAGTGCAGTTGTGTCTTGGGTGAAATCCTTGAAGCTGTGTTTCAGGTTTTGAGGGACAACGAGGATTATTTGAATAGTCTTGATGCAGCGGTCGGCGACGGGGATATTGGAAGTGGAACAAAGCGTGCCGCTCTGGGAGCTTTGGAAATTCTCCCCCATCTTCCCTTGCAGACAAACGTCGGCAGGTCGTTTGTCTTGCTTGCGAAGACGGTGGCTGACGCTTTTGGTGGATCCTCTGGACCATTGTATGGGGCCTTTTTGTTGGCTGCTGGTGCTGCAGCTTGTGAGACCATGGGTAGAGATGGTGCGAGCAGTGTGGATGCTATCCGGGCGGCGTTGAAGGCCGGCAGCGCTAATATTCAGCGTATTGCACGCTCCAAGAAGGGTGAGCGGACGATGGTGGATGTTTTGGAGGCGTTGAACGAAAACCCTGCAGTGAACGCTGCTACTTCCATTCAAGAATTGGCCCGCGCCTGCACTGAGGTGGCAAAGAGGGCCGCCGCAGAAACTGCGCTTCTACCTGCAAAACACGGGCGTAGTCGATACTTAAAGGGAAAGGAGGTGGGACAACCAGATCCTGGCGCCGAGCTCGTTGTACTTTGGATTACGGCTGCAGCAAGCGCGCTTCTGCCACAAGGCAATTTATGAAGCAAAAAAAAACAAAAGTGTGCGTGTGTAAGGGGGATGTTCGTCATTGCATTATGGTACCTTGATTACCACTTCAGCAAAGAAAGAAAAAAGAAACGGGAGGGTTGAATTTGGGGATTTTGGGAGGAATAAGCACATTTTTGGGGTATTGGAAGAAACAGAGTGACTCGGCACGATTTCCGACTTACAGACTTCCATTAAAGAACAAATGAAGAACTGGAGTTTTTTTGTCTTTTTTTTTTCATGCAGTTGTGTGAGGGGTCTTGGACATTTCTTGTTTTTCTCGTTGTCGTCCCTATCTCGTTTGGCCGTGATTGTGTGCTGCTTTTCGAGAACCTTTTTTTGTTTTCCTTCTTTTATTCCTCTCTTTAAAGCGGCGCGCCGATGTACGGCGGCCTCTTTAGGAAGCGGTCACGTGACGCTGATGCGCCTGCACAGGAGAACGCATCGAGCAGTCGTGAAGGTGCGTCCGGCAAGCCTGATAGTCTCGCGTTCCCCACGCCGTCTCTCCGCACCGTGTACCACTATCCCTCGTATCTACCCTTCCCAACCGTGATGGATGCCAACTTTCCCGCCGAGCCATACTGCTCTCGTAGCCAAGACGTAAAGGCGGCTATTCACTGGGGTCAGCGGAAGCTTCTACTTTCTGAGATTCAGCTCCTCTCTTTGTATGCTCGACCGAATACAACCTATCACATTATATATGCCGGCTCGGCCCCCTGGCACTCATCTGGCTTTCCTTGATGATATGTTTCAACGTCGACACACCTGGGAACTTGTGGACCCGGGTCGATTTGACCGACCCGTGTTGGAGTCGCGACAAAACTTTACTCTTCGGAACGAGTTTTTTACAAATGATACAGCCTATGGCATTAATGCACGCCGTCTTTCGGAGGTGCTTCCTGGGCTGGGAGTTATTTACTGCGATGTTGCAGTGGATCGCGCGGACGTAGCGAAGAAGGATCTCCATGAACAACTTCAGAGCATCGTTGGAACGATTGATGTGGCCCGTGGCACGGAAGATATTCCATCCATGTACGAGCCGCGACTGGATATCCCCATTGGATTTGAGCTTCTCTGCTACGTTGGGATGGAGCGAAGCAAACCACTTATGTTTGTCTCTGATATTCGCTCTGGGAGTGTCAGTCTCCCAAACTTTGAGGATCACGTGGCTGAGAATATGCGGGCACAAGAGTGCTGGTGTCAGATTCTTCAGGGCGAGTACAGCATGCTGAAGTTTCGGCTACCGTACACACACAAAAAAATTGGGTTTGGTGACAAGGGGCGCAGCGTTAAGTCCAGTTTAATTGGATCAGATGGCACGGTGAAGTACCTTCGTGGGGACATTCTTCTCCCCATGTGGACCCGCCCGACGAGTACCGAAGGACGTTTGGTGGTCCCACAAGGAGCACATCAGGTGCCGTACAACGTCACTCACGTGGAGAATCAATTTTTTTTCTTTAATGCACGTGTGCGGGAGGTGGTGCATTTTAATCACATGCTTTTGCCGGATGAGGACCTTGACCATCACTACGATGCGGCGGCGGAAGTCAACTGCATCCTTGCATATCTGAAGTTTTTGCATCCAGAAATGAGGGAGGCTTCCGTAGCCGTGCTGCGTCGCGAGGTCAAACACATCTCAGCATCTATCACAGCACACCTGCGCGTTAATTTCCAGGACGTGATTCGTCGCCGAGAGTATCTCGTGTTGAAACAGGCGCGTAGTGGGCAAACCGAGGAGGAGGGCGATGAAAGCGATGATGAAGCGGTGGATGCTGGTCGCCTGCACAATGCTGAGGCCCAGCCTCGCTCTTCATGGGAAGCGGTTGCAAAGAAAATAATACAGGCAGCCACAAGGGAGCGAACGCGTGTGGTGTGGACGCGAAACGTAGAAGAGACAGAGGCGGATGTTCGTAGTAATGTCTGGGTGACAACAACCATGCGGCAGTAATTTGTTTGAGGTGGCGTCCCTTCTCGCGAATTGGCGGCGTGTGGCACGCGCGTGAATGTGTGCGGAGACCTAAGAGCGTCAAAGCAATGAGGTAACACATTGTGGGACATATCCGTGCGGTTACTTTCTTTCTCTCTTTCTTTCTCTCTTTCTCTCTCTCTCTCTCTCAGTTTGATTGTTCTTGTCCTCTCCTCATGGTTTATCTCTGAGAGGTGGACTCTATGCAAGAAGATGCTACGCCTTTTCTTCTTGTTGTTCCTGCTATTGTCCGCCACACGACGATGGCCACGACACGTGGAAGAGGAATAAGAAAGAATAGTGAACTAAAACTCTTCCAATCCCACCAAACTACAACCCCAAAAAAAAAACGAAAAACTGAAATCACCGCTGCCCCCCATCGCACGCGGAACACGGCATCAGAAAATTAAAATAGGAAATGGCAACCGTTCTCCGTCATGGCCGTAAGGGAGGAAAGGTAAGTTCATCTCCAGCGGTCGGCCCACGAGCTATTACACCTGGAAGTGCCATGTCTCCCGTCTCACTGCAAGCGGGCGGAGAAGGCACCACCATTATCAGCGACCTAAGCGCAGCGCATCCGTTTGACCCGGATGCAATTGCGAATGTTGCCAAAAAAGCCTCAACCAGCGAGGCCAAT